AACGTTTTGCTTGCTATGATTGGTGAAACTTATTTGCATCACTTCGACTTCCTGGATAAATTTTAATTTTTTAATTGCTGGATAAATGGATAAGATAGATAAGATGTTCCTTTATTGATCCCCTGTAGAGGAAATTCAAATTGGCATTGGAATGTGGTGCAAAGACTAAAGTAAAGAGAATAAAATACAATAAAATATAATATAAAGTAGAATATTGTACGCCTGTTTTTATCTGTATATATCTCATATATATTATTGACTTGTAATACCTTCCTCAGCTGCTGCTCCTTCTGCAGTCTGACCGTCTTGGCTGGATCGGCAACCTGGACTTTGTAGTTATCGCAGGCGCTGATTCTGGACTGGGTGACCTGGACCGTGCCCTCCAAATAGGCCCTCCATACACAATACATGTTCCTAAACACAAACAGACAAAACAGACATACTGGTTATGATTAAATGACATTTATTACCAAAAGAATACAACATTTAGGTGGAAACCGCCTGATAACGACGTTACCTGTGGTCTTCTTGTTCCTCTGTCAGACTGTCAGGCCATTCCCTCTTTAGATACTGATTGGCCAACTTCTGGAGCGCCTGGAGGGGAAGAAGACAAAAGCAGGGATGACCTTTCACCTTTCGACACCAACACACATTTCCTGCGTCTCATCTTCACGTAGGACACGCTCGGAAGACTGCGTCCCCCCCTGACCTTGTCCTATAAACCACCAGAGTGTGCAGACAGAAGAGTAAAGTCAGTAAAAAGACGTCTTTTCTTCAACAGTCGCACTAATATGGAGACTCATTTAAAATCCATACACATTGAAGAGTTCAGCTCTGCGTGGACCCGTTCACCTGTTAGCCAGAGTCTGGAGGTTGGCTCGATGGCTGGTTTTTAATGCTGACGTGGGCTCATTTTTAGAAGAAAAATGTAATTGATTTAAACCACATTCTCCCCTGGAGATATATTAGGTTCCTCCACCTCGGCCAACAGTGAGGTTAACCTTTGAAGAGCTAAAATAGCAGCACAGAGTAAACAGGGGAGGGGGGAGAGGAGGGGTACGGAGGATATCTCTGGTGTTTCTGAGTTTGGTATGTCTGAGAAATGAGCTGAGCTGGAATATTTTACAGCACGCTGCAGAAGATCTGAGATGAATTAAGATTTTGTAGTAGGAATAAAATGTTGTTGTTTGGGTTTTTATGTTTCGCACAAGAAAGAAATCCTCAGCGTAATTAATTGGTTTTAAACAACAATGAAGAAAACAAAAGAGAGAGAGAGAGAGAAAGACTGGGAGTTTCACCAGGGAGGGAGGGTTCTTGTGTTGCATTGTGGGAGTTGTAGTATTATTGGGGTTTGACTCGTGCAGGAGACTAAAACTGCCCTCAGTAACCTGCCTCTTGTTTAAATGTATTAATTTCCTGCTTTGTGTTACTGTCCCTCTGCTGCAGCTCAGCACACTGACTGTCTGTTACACCCAAAGAGGGAGTTTAGTATTAATAGAGTGAAACTTTGGAAGATACTCGTCTCTTTGCCGCTGCCGCCAAGTGCTTGCTCACTGTTGGGTGTCTGTAAATAATTTTATGTGGAGTATAAGGAGCAGTTATAAGTCAGACTGCTGGAGAATCTTTAGTTAAACTAATTCTTCCACAGAATGACGACTGTGGGTTTTGTCCCCCATCAGTTAGACTGAAATTGCTTTGAGAAGGAGTCTCTTTGGTGTCAGTTTGTAGGATTTAAGGTCATCTTGTGGTGTTGACCTGTGAAAAACTCAAAAACTATTAAAGAGTCAGTATTTATTTGTCTGTTCTGGGCTACTGTAGAAACATGGTGGTTCAACAAGACGACCCGCTGCCTCTGTAGATTAAAAACAGCTCATTTTAAGGTAACAAAAACAAAACGATTCTTATTTTCAGGGGATTATACATTAACGAAAACATACCTATGAGTATTATATTCCATTTAAACCGATGGATACTCCTAAATGTCACACACTGGACCTTTAATGTTGCATCGAGTATTGTTTTAATATAAACGTGCGATTCATGACCGGACTCTTCGCTTCACTACAGTTTCAAAACGGTTCCTAGAATCAGTCTGAATAAAATGACCCTAAACTGTAGTTTGTATAAGGACTGTTGTTAATGCCAGTAACTTCTCGAGTTATTATTAACTTATAGTGAAGACGGAGGTATTCCTTACTTAAACTACTCAATTACTTTAAAGTTGAGACTGACTCTGTAGGTGACAAACATAACCGAACGCAGGTCAACGTGGACCGATAAGTCGAGACAAATAAAATACGTGGGTGTAAAAATGATTTTTATCGCTCGTTTTTTCAGATTAAATGTTTTTTTAAATGTTTTTTTTGTGTGTTTGTGTTCAGGCCCGTGAAGGAAACGAGCCCGTCTATCCGTCCTCTGTCCACTGTCATCCAGTCCCGGAGCAGGCGAGGCCACGGCTCTGAACTCGCTGGTCTCGGTGACGTTGGTGCCAAAGCTTCAAAGCCGCTACAAACCCGACCATTGTGGGGTTCGGAGAGAGAGAGAGAGAGAGAACAGTGTGATGGGAACAAGGGAAGAGGAGGAGGAGGAGGGAGAGAGGAAGAGCCACACAGAGGAGGACATTTTATCACACGGTGTGTGCGCTGAATAGCAATCGGCTAATGGCTAAAGCAGCTTGCAGGTGTAAGAGACCCAGAAAAAGGCGCGTAAAGAAAGAGAGAGAGGGGGAACCAAAGAGGACGAAGAGTTCCAGAGACACTCTGACCCACTTTGATTCAACCACCGGCAGCGGGTGTCTAATTGATCACAGAACGAGCAGGCAGACACACACAACAGCGTTCAAACTGAAGCACACAGTGAAGACATTTTATTCACTAATCTATTGATCATTTTGTCTGTGAAATGTGAGAAAAGTGTCCAAAGGTGATCTTCAGATGGTCCAATCAACAGTTTAAAACCCCAAATATTCAATTTACTTTGATATAAAACACATTTAAGACGCTTGTATCAGCAAATATTGTTTGTAAACTGACTCAAAGTAATAATCCATTATTAAAATATCTGGTTCTGATGTTCTGTCAATCAGTTTAATCAATTAATGTTGTATTTAAGCTCCAACAGTATAAAATAAACCCATTTTATTCCCCTACAAATTTTACTAGACGTTCTTCATTTTAGGTCTCGAATTAACAATAATTTTAATCAGCAATTTAATGAATTCATCGAATTGTTTTGGCTTTTTATTGCTGTTCTTAGATTGTAAAAGCTGAGCAACAGGAAAACTAATCAATGAATAGTTTGGTCCATAAAACGTCTGTCGCAACAGTTAGTACTGCGCTCTAAAAGAGTCTCGATGATGAAACTATAATAAAAATACACACGAGACGTCCTTAAATCGAGCTCTGGTAACCTGCGGAGGACTCGAGACGCTGAGTGAACGCGAGGAGACAGAAACTCGGTTCTGACGAAATCTGACTTTCAAAACAACGGTGGAACTCGGGCATGCAGATCCAATAAAACACACATGCACGGGGTTACAAAAGCTCGCCTGCGGGCTGATCTTCCCTCAGCTGCATTCTTCTCTTTCCTACATCTCTCTACAGTTCAATACTTTTTGTAAAGCTCATTTTTCCATTGTTTAATCTCCTCCTAGTCGGTTTACAGACCCTCTGATAACTACATTGACGTCTCCGCTGCCAGACACATGCTCGCAATTTTAAACGGACTTTGTCGCCAATCAGGAATTAGTCCCGGAGGATGTGTACTACAGTTAGACTCACTTTCTAGATCTTGTTGTTGCTCTGGTTCAGTTTTGATGAAGCACCGAGTTAAATGTAGTGCTTCTACTTCTCCTTCCTTGTTCTGAGACTATTTAAATCTTTTATGCAAGGTCACGCGATGACACGGACCCAGCCGAGCAACATGAATAATGTACAAACAGGAGTCAGAGACGCTTCATTTCCCCTCTTAGCTTCTCTTGACCCGACTCTTTCTACGTACGTACATCTCAGAGGTTTTGACCGGCTGCAATCGGTTTAAATGTTAAATGTTTGAGGGTAAAATGTGTATTTTTAAATAAACTGCAAAGGAAGTGAAGGATTTTAGTGGCATCTAAAGGTGTGAAGGAGAAACTACGGCTCAGGGTTCCCGCTCGTTTCAAGAGGACGACGCTTGGTCATCGTTTAAGGGCCACTCCGATTTTTCCGCTTTCCAAATTGACTCCAGTTTTCCTCCAACCAGAATAAAACCCAGCCAAAAACACGATTAAAGATTTCCTGTAAAGCTGCTCGATTGATCAAAATTTGATCACGATT